GTTGAGGGTTTAATTATGAGCCTGTCGTTCAAGAGCTGTGGAACCTTCTTACATGTTTCTTCGTCCGTTTCTGATACCTTGTCCTGAATACCATAGATCAGGACACTGTTATTTTCTGGTGTACTGCTTTAGATTGTTATTGGTAGATTCTAAAATATTGATTCTATCAAGAACGGCACATGATTGTTCTTTAAGTAATTTATTTATTTTTGTAAGTTTTCTTTTTTTGGACTACGTTTTCACCTCAAAATCCGAAATCTGTGACTTGATCTTTCAAAGCTTTTTAATATTCATTTATCTTATCAAACTCTTTTTTCATTTTATTTTCTAAAGATATTTTTAATTTATTCAGTTTCTCATTGAGCATTGGGCTTACTCTCAAGGTACTCCTTAGAAGCTTACGTATTTAGCCTTTTCCTGTATTTTTATCCACATGTCGATTGGAGCCCCAGTTTTAAGGTGCTTGTCGAGTGTTGACTGCTTTTCATTTTTCTTTGATTTGTGGTTTTGCTTTTTGGGCTTTGCATTTAGACTGTCCTCTAGAGACGTGTCCGTCTCAGTACCAACATACTACTCTGACTGTTTTGATCCCCCCTTTGACCTTGATCTCGTTGCGTTCTGCTTTGTGCTTGTTTTTGTGCTCTGTTTCGACATCTTCAAAAAACAATGGACAGTGTTTGTATATACACTATGCTACGATAAACTAAGTACGCTTTATGAATTCGTGAAAATCGTGCAATAATCTAACATTTCTCGACTATTGTTATCGTTTCAAATCGCTTGAAATTTATACCATCATATTCCTCGTACAATTTCCGTTAATCTCCATATAAAGTTAAGTTTTTAAATTCAACTTTTATTTATAAATTTATCCTTTTTTAGCCCGACTTTTCGCAGAATAATCGAGCTAATGCAGTCACCCATTTGTCGGCGTCGGCGTCCCTGTGGTTAAGTTTTTGCGTGTAAGCAAGTATCTCCATAACTACTGAAGTGAAGAATTGAAACTTCACACACTTTTTTTTCTGTGATTATCTAACATGATTGTCATAGGTCCCATAACTTTGACTTTCTTTCTTGCATAGTTATGCCCCTTGTTCGACTTAGAAATATACCATCATATTCCTCGTACAATTTCCGTTAATCTCCATATAAAATTAAGTTTTTAAATTCAACTTTTATTTATAAATTTATCCTTTTTAGCCTGACTTTTCGCAGAATAATCGAGCTAATGCAGCCACCCATTTGTCGGCGTCGGCGTCCCTGTGGTTAAGTTTTGCGTCCTAGCAAGTATCTCCATAACAACTGAAGGGAATGGATTGAATCTTCACACAATTGTTTTCTGTGATTATCTTTAAGTTACATGATTGGTACAAGTTCCATAACTCTGATTTGTTTTTCTGCATAATTATGCCCCTTTTTCGACTTAGAAATATTTGGTAAACCTTTGCATGTAAGCAAGTATCTCCATAACATAACTTCTGAAGGTAATGAATTGAAACTTCACGCCCATGTTTTCTGTGAGTATCTCACATGGTTGGCACAAGTACCATAACACTTATTTGCCTTTTTGCATAATTATGCCGTTTTTTCGACTTAGAAATTTTTGGTTAAATTTTTGCGTGTAAGCAAGTATCTCCATAACTACTGAAGTGAATGGATTGAAACTTAACACACTTGTTCACATGATTGGCACAATACCCATAACTCTGCTTTGCTTTTTGCATAATCATTCCCCTTTTTTGACTTAGAAATCCTTTGTTAAGTTTTTGCGTGTCGGCTGGTATTTCCGTAACTAATGAAGGGAATGGCTTGAAACTTCACACAATTGTTTTTTGTGATTATCTTTTAGTTACATGATTGGCACAAGTTCCATAACCCTGATTTTTTTTTCCATAATTATGCCCCTTTTTCGACATAGAAATTCTTGGTCAAGTGTTTGCTTGTAAGCAGGTATTTTCATAACTACTGAATGGTGTGTGCCTTTTGGGACAATTTTATGCATACATGATAATAAAAGATCTTAATAGCAAGTCTTTGTACCTTTTCGGACAACTTTATATGTTCATTTAAGTAAGTACTATTATACTCAATGAAACACCCTCGTGACAACTTTTCCGAACAGTCGAGCATCACTGTCCTCAGACAGTTCTTGTTCAACCTTGACCTTTGTTCAAAATTATTAATCTAAGTTGCATACAGGATTCCTCAAGGCAAACATGTCAGCTGTGAGCATTGGTCCTCTTAATCTGATTAAGTAGAAAATAATCTTAAAGTAGCCTAACTAAAACGGTCAGTACTATACTAATTAGTTTATCAAATAAATAAATGGTCTAAGATTAGATTCGATAATATAATAATGATATTATATTTTTTTATTCTTTAACCAAACCACATTGTTTTGTTCTCAAAATCGCCCGATTCTAGAAAACTAAGATAGAAAACTTTTGTAACACAAAGGGTAGCGTGTCAAAAACCAAGGCAAATGACTTTCGAAATTGGTCATGTTAAAATAGTTTCGTGATTGACTGTACGTCAAAAGAGATTGGCAAGTCATTTAAACACTTGATATAAAACTTGTTTAAGAATGTTTATTTTAATCATTCTTGCACTTGCTAAGCTTGCATTTAATTTCTGTAATTAAATTGTTAAAACTATTAAATAATATTGAATTGCCTGTCCAAGAAAAGGTTGAAACTATTTGATATATGAGCCTTGCCGTGACAAAACCAACGTAATGCGTTTGCGACCAGCATGGATCCGGACCAGCCTGCGCAACCGCTCAGTTTAATCAGGGTTCATGCTGTTCGCTTACAAACCTGATAACAAGAAGATAAACTGATAGCAGACAGCATGAATCCTGATCAGACTGCGCGGATGCGCAGGCTGGCCTGGATCCATGCTAGTCGTAAACACATTATGTTGGTTTTGTCATTGCGTAGCTAAAAAAATATTGCTAAACTCTGTACTCTATTTTTGCTCAGAAATCTCGGGGATTAACCCAACTACATATATTGAAATGATCAACGAATGTGTAAGCTTTTTACGAAGAATCAGACAGCGTCCATAGTTATTCAAAAGAAAATGAATATGATAAAATACGTGATTAAAATAATAGCTCGTGATAACAGTAGAATTTTAAACAAGGGCAGCATTGTTGCAAAATACGCTCGTCAAAAAGAACATTTGATATGTGATAAAAATTGCGGGCATTATAGATATGCATAGCAATTAACTCTATGGGTGACCTTGACCTTTGAACTGGATAGTGTATGAATCAATATATTCAATGGTGATGATCATTTCTATAAAGAATCATTACAATTCTCCCATGCATGTCTGAAATATGTTCTAGACACAATCCAGATATTTCATCATCTTAGGTGACATAAGCTGACCTTAAATACAAGTTCAATGGCTGTAGTCATGATACTGATCTTTTGTGTTACAATTCATAAATAAATGATGACTATACCCTATACACATATTTATGTTTTGTATTTGAACTTTGACCTCTAGTTCGACCTTGACCTTAGCAGGGACCTGAATTTTGCACCTAACACTCTGCCTACAATATTTAACTTTTGTACCAAGTTAAATTACAAACCCTCTATGCATGTAGAAATTATGCTCAAGGAAAGCGTTTGACAATGACCACTATGGGTGACATTGACCTTTGACCTAGATACATTGCCCATTGCACAGTTTCTAATAGTGGTGAACGTTTCTATGAAGTTTTATAATATTCCTTCCATGTGTGTAGGATATATGCTCTTGACAATATCTAAATATTACATCATCTTCATTGACCTTGACCTTTGATATATTGTATTAAATTACAAGTGGCTGAAAGTAATCGATACAACTCCAGAAAATGTTACAGTGTAAAAGTTATTGGGCATTTATGTAGATTATGCATTAAACTGGCATTATCAAATAGACAATGTTTGCACAAAAATGCCCTCTTCAAACATGACAGTTTTTACCTTACTGACGAAATGGTATTTTACAACGCGTACATTCTTTATGTGCTTGATTATTGTTGAACGGTATGGGGAAAGGACACAGACTCATACATCAATAAAATTAATTCAATCAAAAAAAAAAAAAAAAAAAAACGAGCTGCCAAAATTATTTTTCATAGACCGATACGTTCACCAACATAAGATCATTTTTATGAACTTAAATGGCTGAAATTCAATTCAGGCAGCATTTATAGTGTATAAATCTCTAGGCAATCTGGCACCATTGTATACGAGTGTAATTTTTAGCTTCTCTCACAATGAATTACATAACTTAAGTTTCATGTGGCCCACAATATTCAAACTGCATAGGATGATTGTCCATATTGGGTAGAAGACCCCTATTGATTTTGGGGTCACAAGGTCAAAGGTCAAAGTGTCTTTTACTTTAAAACTGAAAACAGTTTCCAGAACATAACTTAATTTCTATTTGGCCCATAGTGTTCATACTTCGAACGATGATTGTCCATATTGGGTAGAACACCCCTATTGATTTTGGGGTCACAAGGTCAAAGTTCAAGGTCGCTATTACCTCAAAACTGAAAACATTTCCAGAGCATAACTTAAGTTTCACTTGGCCCACAATATTCAGACTTTATAGGAGGATTGCTATTTGAAGGAGGTAATACTTTATCTGATTAATGTAATGTCTTACAAATGCTTCATCCTTACTTAAAACAAGAGGGCCATGATGGCCCTAGATCGCTCACCATAATTATTATAATTATGTTGTCTTGGTAATGACTGTTTGCGTTACAATCCCTCACTGAATGATGACTAAATTAATTCTTTATTTACTTGAATATTTTTATTTGAATTTCGAATAAATAACAGTAGAATTACAGTGATTAAATTTTATGTATCAAAAACAAGCATAGAAGGTAGGTGAAGTATGGTAACAGATGAAAACAACAGAAGCACAAATTAAGCCTAAATTCTTAACCTTATTTCATGATAAGATGCACTTTGATTCTTTTACAGTTTGGGGTTCGTATTGCTGTACACAAGTTTTATGCTGATTTTTGTGATGATATTTTCAACTGGGATTTACAGCGTTGTAATGAGAAAATCTATTAGCGATCAATTTGTGCATCTCCTAGGTGAAGCTGTACTCATTTGTCAAAAATGCGCTTTGGTCTTTATTGCAGGTATTTTTTCTTTTGTTCTCTTTTTTATTTGTTTTAAATTGCATGCAAAATGTATTTAATGTTTTTACCAAAAATGATAAGCTTTGGCGTTGTATTAAACATTTCGTTTTTTTTTTTTCAGAAATTGTATTGAACTTGTATTGGTTGCATTTGTATCGGATTGCGCAAGCGCAAGGACACAGCGAAATTATGCGTTTTGTTCATGTCCTGTTTAATGTTTTGTTGTTTGTCGTTATGTCCATGCTTATACTACAGAACATTCAAACCTTTTTTGTATTTTGGATAAGTCTATTACTTTTAGGTTTCTTCATTTCATTTTTGGCCTTTTCATTTCACTATAGGTACGGCTTGAAACAGCCTTCTGTAGAGCAACTACCTATTTAAACAACAGTTAGTAAAAGAAAATATAATAGGATCAACAAGGAAAGGCGGCGTTCAATAGATCCTCACAAAAAATCTAACCACTCCAGAGCAACGCCTTTCCGGAACAATCAAAATATTTGTCTCAAAATAGATATTGCGCTACAGATGTTGTACTATATTATTATGAATGTACATAATTGATATTTCCTATTTTAATTCTATTTCAAATTATAAAAGCTTGAATTTTACTGCATTGCATATAAATTTTTAGTATAAAATATGTAAACTTTGTTTGCTGGTTTGTTTGTTTATAACTTAATATTACAAAATGATCATTAACACCATATATCTAAATTTAGTTTTTTTATGTTAGAATTACCATGATAATGGACGTGAAATTGTTTTATGCATTGACTTTAAATAAACATATGTCAATATGCAAATCATAATTCTTTTAAAATAGTTTTGACTTATGATTAGATTAAGTCATATATTGCATGTAGATCAGAAAAAACAACATCAACAAAAACACAACAAAACATGCAAAAAAAAACATACTCGTATTATTATGCAATTAAATAAGAAAAAAATAGTAATTTAGTGATTTACACTTCGGCATTCAAACTTACTTTTCTTTAAAAATGCATTGTTTAGTCACTTTACTGTAACTATTGTAAACTCTTGAAGAATTAAAATTGTATGTTATGAGTTTCGGGGATATGGAACTATCTTCTTAACAATTATGTTAAAAAGGAAACGTACATCATAAATTTTTGTCATAACCTAAATGACCATAAAAATGGTGATGAAAATGATAGTCAGTGAGACCGTCTTTTAATCAGTTTTGGAACTGTCTCCTGGCATATAAGCCAAATGATTTGAAATTTAGAAATTGTAGACTTGCGTCCAGCTTTATTAAGCGACTTTTTTATATTTAGCACGCATAAA